TTTTAAATGATGTAACTGCTGCCCCACTCATTTGCACTGTGATTTCAGCCAGAGAAGTTTCTCCTTTGCTTTCTTTTGCCCTCCCTAGGAGTAATGGGGAAGTCCAGCAGGGAAGAGCATTTCAACATTGCCTTTGAAAGCAGGAGGAAAACAAGCTGTCTAAATCAATCAAGAGCATGCATTAGTGATAGCTTGTTCCTCTGGAGGTCTGCATTTGATGCCATATTGACACACAGCTGAGATCAAAGCCTGTCTCTGTATCCTGGCTGCTATCAGAGGAACAGCATTGGCCTTTGGGCCCCATATCTTTACAAGGAGCTCGTGATCAATGTGATTTTTTTCCCCCCCATAACAAGCACCTGTGAAATGTAGTTATCATCAAATAATGCCTAATGCCTTTTTCTCTGAAAAAGTAATTCCTCTCCATCTTTGAAAATGTTCTGGAAGGCAGTACTATGGGTTTTTCCTTTCTGCTTTTGTAAAAAAGCTGTTAAATGACAGCTCCCACTCCTGCTGAACAGGCATCAGCTGTTAACTCAGTAGGGAAAGCTCTGAATGAGATATACAGAAACTTTGGAACAATCCACTATTGTTTTTGCTTCCTTAGAATTATTTTGCCTCCTTGGAAAAAAAAAGCTTCTTTTTTTTTTTTTTTGGCTAATGCAGATATTGGGCTGATTCATGCTGATACGTTTGGAATTATTATTCTGTAATAGTCATCAGCATCTATAAAGGACCTCAGTTCTGCCAGAGCTCAGCAGCAGGGAAGAGGAGCTGACGTCTGAATAAGCCCCTGAGTTCCCTTTCAAGACAGGATAACTCCAAGCTTAGAGGTCTTTCAGGAGAGAGCAAGCTTTCTCAGGAGATATCTGGTACCCCCTGCTTCTCTTTGGGCTTGAGCTGCTAATCTTTCTCTGGGTATTTCTGGCACCCCTGGATTACGTCTCTGCAGTGCAGGGAAATTGTGCTGGGGCAGAGGGCTGTGTCCCTCTGAGTCACAGCCCACCCTGGCCTATGCTCAGGGGGCAGAATGGGGTGACAGGTTGTATGGATCAATCGTGAAGGACATTTGGGTCTGGGCTGATTAAAAATAGCCTGGCTTAGACCTCCTTTTTCAGGCTTCGGAAGGCTCCCTGCAAGGACGGGCTTTGCAAACAAGTTCAAGGTCTAGTCTGTATTCAAACTGGGTTATCTCCATTCCTGCTGATAGCCCAGATAGGGCCTGGATACCCTTGATCTATCTGGGGATAGCAGGCTGAGCCACGTGCTGTCTCTAAAGTGTTGGCTCCTGTGGGACCTAGCCAGCAGATTTAATTAGCTCCGTCAAATTTCTTTTTTGTTTTCTGTTGTTTGTGGGTTCGGTTTTTCTTTTTGGCTTGGAAGAAATCCCTGTATAAAGCACCGCCCTCCTTCAGTCCATGCTCCCACACACAAGCCACATGTCTAGGACAAGGATGCTCTTCAGAAAGGTGCAGTGTCAAGCTATTTACAGACCAAGCTTTGAGGAATGCTCAGCTTGGCTTCATGTAGGCAGTGGAGGGATGGGCGTTGTGCATGGTGCATTCCTGAGGGACAAGCCTGGTTTCTGGGCTGAAGTAACTGTGCTTCCATATGGTGAAGGGATCAGAGCTGGCAGGAGAGGATGAAGCCTTTCTTTGCTTCTGAGGAGGAGGTGCAGGAGCTTGGGAAGGGGCAGCTGTTTCATTGGGTGTGACTCACTTCCTGGGGAAGTTGTCCCCACAGGAGCCTGCGCACCAAGGGACAGAGTGTTGATGGGGCTGAGCCTTGAAACTACACAGCTGCTGGTAGTTCTGCTCTTCCTGCTGTGGGGAAGAACCTGGCCATCCTTCCCTGTATTGTTTTATTATTTGTAGTTCCCTGGGTTTTGTCTCTCATGGGGACTCAGTTAATTTTCCTTTGCCGTCTCTCCCCATGAGCAGTAGGGGAGTGCTCACCTCATTCAGATTGCAGGTGTCACTTGCCTGCAGCCCTTTGCCAGGTCTGCAGCAGAGGGATGATTAAAACCCCCAGCAGAAGAGCCCTCTTACACCTTGGGACAGAACTGCAGTCTCCCACTATTGCCTGGGCTACTGGGAGGTCAAGATCCCAGTTGTGGGATCAGAGCCTTTCTTTTCCCTGTTTTATCCACCTCCCCTATGAAGACAGGCTGAAAGAGTTGGGGCTGTTCAGCCTGGAGAAGAGAAGGCTCTTGGGAGACCTCAGAGCACCTTCAAATACCTAAAAGGGGCTACAATACAGCTGGAGAGGGACTCTTTACAAAGGCATGTAGGGAAAGGATAAGGGAGAATGGGTTCAAACTGAAAGAGGGTAGGCTTAGGTGAAGTATTAGGAAGGTGTTCTTCATTTTGAGGGTGGAGAGGCGCTGGCCCAGGTCGCCCAGAGTTGTTGTGGATAGCCCATCCCTGGAAGTGTTCAAGGCCAGGTTGGATGGGGCTTTGAGAAACCTGGTCTCGTGGAAGGTGTCACTGCCCAGCAGAGGGGTTGGAACTAGATGATCTTTAAGGTCCCTTCCAATCCAAAACATTCCATGATTGTATGATTAACATTTCGCTTCCTGAATGAGAAGCGAAAAAAGAAAAAACACTTCTTTTTTTTTGCCCCCCTTTGTTTTTCAGCCACCCAGGTCCAGCAGAGTTTAGGGGAGAAACTGCTACTTTCTGAGCAGAAAAACAAACTGCCTTTCCCCTTCTCTTTCCCACCCCCTCAAGAAATACAGCTGGATGTGAACCCTCAGGCACTGTTCTTTAGATCTAGCCTATTCTTTCTGTCCGACAAGGATGCCATTCCTGAAGACCCGTCCGAGGGTTGGAGGAGTCTCACTACTGAGAAATGCCCTGTTTTGGCTGTGTTTGCACAGTAATTACCTGTGCTTATCCCAGAGCAATAACCCATTCCACCCACTTCTGTGGTTCCTTGAATCCATCCTCCCACTTTACCGTGCACATCTCAAACAGGGAGGCAGCTGCCTGGTGAGGGGAAGCCTGCAGCATCTCGGCCTGTCTCAATTTTTAGCACTATTGTAGTTTCGACTGAAGGCTCCGATGGGCCCAAGGGAATGGAGGGAGAGGGGACAGCAGCTTCCTGTGCATTTCAGCAAGGCAGGGACTGAGCCGGTGCTGCTCACCACAAATACCGGCGCTGCCATGAATTATGCATTCCTTGTTTAAAGAGAGGTCGCTCTCATCAATAATTGAAAGCTCCCTGCTCTGCCTTCAGCATCACAACTCCCACACCGGGAGTTAGGGAACTCATGAAATCTGCATGGACTTTCTCAAGGTGGCTAGGGGCTGGTGGAGAGAGGCAGCAAAACGCAGGAAAACAAACCAAAAACCCTGCTGACAGCTTTGGTGTGTGAAATTAGGAGTCATCTGCAGCTACCTGCAGGTCTGCTCCAGCCCAGCTCCTCACAGCCCTGTCTCCTCCCCTCTCCACCTGTCTCCTCCCAGGGTACACACAGAACAGTAGGCTTGCAAACAGGGCTCAAACCAAGATTAGGGAGCGGTTCTTGAAACTTTTGGCTCCTTTACCTGAGAGTAGTTTGCTTTGGGCGCTCGCCTAGAAAATCGTTACACTGGCTGGCAGGATGTTCCCGAGGGACAGCTTGAACTGTGAAATTTGTCCCTCTGGGAAGATAAGGATCTTTAGAGTTCGTGTCTCTGACTAGAGCCATACAGTCCTGGGGCTCGGGTTGGTCCAGTATTCAGAGTCTTGTAAGCCTGGCTCAGACCTGAACCAGAGGCTGGAAAATCGCCTCTGCTGCAGAGCAAACTTTTTGAAAAGGGTGGTTCTCATTCTGGATCAGGAAGGCAGAGGGCAGAACCAGGACCTCAGAGAGCTACCAAAGCCCATCTGATCCTAACCATTTCTGAGTTATCAAAAAGGATGTAAATTGAGCACCTTTCAACAGGACTGTAGGAAAATCAGAGGCACTGGAAGGTGTCAGCCTTATAATCCCCAGTCAGCTGCGTCTCTCCCTAACTTTTACCTTTCTCCCATTCACCCAGCATGTCCTTTCAAATACTCTGCAGCTCAGGGAGAATGTCACTCCCCGGGTCATTTTGCAGCCTGGAATCCTTATCACTCTCTCAATATCTGGGTTGTCCTGCCTGTAACAAATTGTACCCTGCTGGTAATTAGTCAATAACAGATGAAGGATTGGTCACATGTGATGGTCTGCGCCTCAGCCAGATCTCATTCCTCTTCAGCATCATTCCAGGGAACCCAGCTCTTCCCTCTGTGCTTCTCTCATTGTCTTCTCCTGAATCCTTTCAGAATAATGCTCCCTGTCTCAGAACAGGAGCTTAAATGGAGACTGAATGGTGTTGCATCCCAGGAGCTGAGAAGTCTGACAAAGCAGCGTGAAGCCAAAGTAGTATGAGAAACATTTTGTCCCTATCATACTCAGCTTTGTGCTCTGTGTGTTTGTTTATTTTTTAATGGAGAACAGAAGATTGATGGATGAAATTAAGAAGAGGGATGTGTAATTGGAAAACAGCTCAAGAAGGCTACAGGCAGCATATTGAAGGCATCCATCAAACATTCAGCTAATGTTGTTAAGGGTGTGTAACACAAACAAGGGCTTCAGGAGACACTAGGGAAAAAAAGAAAAGGAAAGAGAACGGGGAATAGGCAGGAGGGAAGAAATAGCAAGAGAGGAGAAGAGCCAGCAAGAGAGTACAATCAATAATATTTGTATTGCAATCACATCCAAAGGCTCCCGTTGGGATCAGTGCTGGACTGTACAAGCACATTAAGAGGTGGTCCCTGCCCTCTACAGCTTAAACCCAGGAATTACCAGATGAACGCAGGGGATGGGTTTAGATGATCACGAAATTTTCTTCTGATGTTGAATCTCATTTAACAGGATCTACTCTGAGAGGGGTTAAAGGCAGAAGGAAGGTAGCTGGTTGTGCCAAGAATACACACTGCAATGTTTGCCAGCAGGCATGCAATTAATCCAAGCCACTTAGGAGACTTTGGTTTTAATTATAAAAAGTAGGTAAAAATATGTGCAGTAAGCCCCACTGGGGCCATCAGCAGGCTACCCAGAGGCATCGATATGTGACTGGATTTTGATGCTGTGTTTTCAAAAGGATGGACTGATGCTTTAATGGACCACTTTGTGGGAAATGTTCCATGAGGGGTGGACATTAAGAGAATGCAAAGGGCCTTTGTGTGGGTAAGGACAGAAGACAAAGGCTAAAATTATTAGTAAGCCTGGGGATTTCTGTAGTCCTGGAAACAGGGAAGAAAAGAGACTCTGAAGGACTGAGAAAAGGCAGGTGAAAGATATAAAGCAACAGAGAAGAGTACACATGATGGATTCAGGGGGAGACAGTGGGGGAGACAAGGTAACATTTTAAAGAGAAAATGAAGTATTCCAATAGAGATTTTTTTTTTTTAAGGGGTTGAAGTCAGCTCCTCTGTGAGGTTCACAAGTTACCTGGGGCTTTATGCAGGGTTTAACTTGTTCAGCCTTGCTTGCTTTGGAAAAGCAATAGAGAGAAGGTGCATGCAGAAATAAATGAGCACGGAGCACCAGGGGAGTTGCACACACAGGCAGCATCTCCACTTGTTTGCTGTGTTTGGGGAGCATGAACAGGGCTGGCTGGAAGAGGGAGGAGGAGGAAGAACTAGAAAAGGAATTCATTAAAAATTCTTCCAACTCTGATCCACTCTCCTCTGTGCTCTATTGGTAACATGGCTGCCACAGCTGCCTCCTCCTCTCTTTCCCTCCAGAAGCAACCTGAGTTTGCAGCAGTAGCAGGTCTGCTGCATAGAAACTGTGTCTGTATAATTAAGGCCTTTAATAAAAGGGAAAAAGCAGTGGCTGCCTGACTCTGGTGCAGGGACATTTGTAATTGCAAGCATACCAAAGGAAGCAAGGAGCTGTGATGACCCTGAGCAAGGGCTTGGGTGGGCCTAGGTATCTGCAGTTGTTAATAGCAATCCTTGGATTTCTTTTGTGGCTCTGTCTGTTCTCGCAGCCACGAGTGATGGGAGGCTTTACTCTGTGCTGCTACGCTGGTAAGAGAAAAGATTTCCTGTGGGGAAAGCAGTACCTGGTGTGGGTAACCTCATCCTGCCCTGTGTCTGGCCTGGATCTGCAGCTTACCAAATACCTCTGCCTTTGGCACTAAAGCTTGAGGGACACTCTTGTACCTGCCCCAGAGCCAGTGATCAAAAAGCAATGCAGTTAAGCAGAGCCAGCATGTTTGCTGCACAAGGCTCCTGCTCACATCACCAAAACACTCCAGTGTGCCCCTGGCCACGCAGCTTCCTTGGTCCACTTCTTCATCAGCTTTTTGTAGCTTGAAAGTAGTGAAATGGGGCACCATGGTGTTTCCTGAGTGAGGAGGTAAGAAACATTAGACATTAATACCATTAATGGTTGGCTTGGGGAGCAGTCAGTGGGAAAATGTTTCCCAAAGGGACTGCTCCATCATTGGTACCATTGGTGCTAGCAAGGAATGAGCTTGTGTTGCAGTAATTTCCTTAATAGGGCTTATGAACATCCACTTGCCCACCAGAGGAGTTGCTGAGACATGCTAGTCTTCTGTCAGATGTGGCTGAAACAGGATTGACAGTTATTGGTGGTAGGGCACTGACGAGCCCTGCAATTGCATATTCCTTGGTTTTTTCAGGACACCAAGGTAAAATGTCAGAGAAACAATTAAAGACAGATTCTAAGAGGTCCCAGAGGATGAATTTAGATTAGCATCTCCTAATATCTTTCAGTGCCCTGTGGCTGCTGTCACTTTTAGACCAGTTGTCATATTTCTTCTGCCACAACTCTCTAAGGCTGAAGCAAGACAATCGTTCCTCTCTGGACAGATGAGGAGCTGCTGGACCCAAATCCTGGGCAAAGAGTTGCTTTTGAGCAAAATGTGCCTGTGTCCCTTTAAGGACCTTGGTTTTAGCTGACTGACCTTCGGCACACTTAAAAATCCCTGGCAGAGCTGGAATTGAGAGCAAATCAATTTGAATCTCCTTTCAATCTTTTGTATCAGCATGATGCCATCACACTCTTCCCTCAAAATGCCATCAGCCTAGGAGTGCAGGAGAACCTGGTAGGGCCTGGTGGGTACTCCAAAGTCTGTGATTTCAACAAAATGCTGCAATGGCCAAACACTGCAAACCAGAAGTAGAAAGGGATATGGGATAATTAAACATTCAGCAGGCATCACCAGCACTGTGGAATAACCAAGGCAGGGATTTCATGGAATGCTTGGTAGATGATAGCATGCATGCCCAATTGCCTCAATGCATCTGCCTAAGGAGGACAAATTAACACTGCAGAAGTGTTAAGAGATGCTGGATATCTAGAGGATGCCTGACATTTGTTTTGTCCAGTTGCATATTCAGGCACACAAATCTTGCACGCAGCTCTAAAAAGTTGTATGAAAGAAGCAAATTAAATGGCCACAACAAAGTTCAGGAATGAGCACAAGTCTCAAAGAGGAGGCAAGTAGAAGTCCTCTCCGACTTCAGAATCAGCAACATGAACAACCCTAACTCAAGGACAGTGGTTTAATCATAGGATAGTGGGAGGTTCTTTAGAGCAACAGAAATAGCTAAAAACTTCTATTGGTACCAGAGTTGGCCAAGTTGGATAATGGTTTGGACCTCAAGTGTTAATAGAGCTCCTTGTAAACTTAGAAAACACTTTGCTGGATCAGGGCCAAACATTTGTCATACCTCCCTGCATTTTTGGCAACTTATATTTTGGAGGCCTTACTCTTTTTTCTTTTCTGAAAGGTAGAGAGATGCCTGGGCATTGGAAGCTCCCTGCAGCATGCTGAGGAGACGTAACCTTCTTACCACGCTCCTGATTGCCTTGCCATGGGCTCTTCTCCTAACCTTGTGGCACCAGTACCCAACCACCCACTACCTCAGCCTCCTGAGAAGTAAGTGCAAAAGATCTGCTGTCAGTGTGCTGGTGGCTGTGATGACTTCTGTTGCAAACCCTCAGCAGGGATGCTCTCTCACGGGAAGGGTTAAACAAAGACAGACTTGCCTGAAGGCCCCCTCTGGGTTTGCTGACAGCGGAAACATAAACTGTTCTTAAGAGTGTTAAACATGCACCTTAGGCTGGCTTTGTAGAGAGGATGCAGCACTAACTCCAGATAGATGTGTGCCCTGAACATGAGGCAGCCTGTTGGTTATTAGTCCTCTGACGTGTTTTTGGGGTTTTTTCCTCTTTCTTCCTTTGTTTTGTCCCAGAAGAGACAGATGAGAACGTGACCTCTAAAGCTCTCCTTAATGGTACATCTGCACTGAGAGAAGAAGTCTTCCCATCATGCACTCGGCAGCAGCAAAGCATAGGAGCAACGCCTAAAATCATCCAGAATTATGTGTACTCCAGGCCTCCCCCATGGTCAGACACCCTGCCAACCATCTTTGTTATCACGCCGACCTACACCCGGCCCGTGCAGAAAGCTGAGCTGACCCGACTGGCCAACACCTTCCTCCACGTACAGAACCTGCACTGGGTGGTGGTGGAGGACTCTCCACGGAGGACCAACCTTGTGTCCAACCTGCTGGAGAAGGCTGGGCTCAACTTCACCCACCTCAACGTGGAGACACCTAAGAGCCTGAAGCTGGGTCTGTCCTGGATCCCATCCCACACCCCGAGGGGGACACTGCAGAGGAACCTGGGGCTGCACTGGCTGAGGGACAGCTTCAGCAACACCGCACCCCCGGAAGGCGTAGTCTATTTTGCTGATGATGATAACACCTATAGCCTGGAGCTCTTTGAGGAGGTAAGAGACATCAAATTACATGGGACAGAAAAGCAGGATAGAGCTGCAGAGCCTCTTAAGCCCAGTTGCACTTGCAAAGACCTCGCCACTCTGCCATGCAGTGGCAGCTGGGTATAGGGCAGATGCAAGCTGAAAGGGTAAGGAACATATTTGCCATGCTATAGGCTGTGGATGTGAACAGCCACTCACTCATCATTGCACCAGCTAGAGTTCCTCTTGCCAGAGACCACAGGATGTGTACCTCAGAGTTTATACCTCTCCTCAGGGAGAGCTGACCTAATTTAAATAAGCACCAAAGACAACTTCTGGCAAGTTGTAAATCTGCGCTGTTGTAGGGGTGTGTTGGTTAGGGGATGATAGAAGAGTTGTTTGACTTTCTATCCACCTTTCCTCCTTGGCTGCCCTTCAGTTCTCCAAGTTCCAGCCACCACAAGAGAGCTGTGCCTCTGGGATCACTGGAGCTTGCCCAGACTTCTGCTGGAGACCTGGCTTTTGTGAGATGCCAAGCCTATTGTGAACTTGCAAAAATCCAGTAAACTCTCTGGTCACCGATTTAAGCCAAACTGTACTAGGCCACTTGAAGAGCAGAATTATGCATCACAACACATTTCCAGTTTTCAGAGTTGTTAGGTCTCTGTTAAGCTCATCCTTTTTACTTACTTCCAGGTCCTTTCTGACAATTTCAATAAACCCCCACACTTCTAGGCAGTAGCCGTGGATGGAAAAACAAGGCAGGAGGTGCGGGGAGAAATTGGAATAGATGAGGACAAAGATGAATCAGTCAGGGAGATTACCTGCATAAGTGTGAAGCTGGAGTGAGTGGAGTTGGTAAGACAGAGCTAGAGGCCTGGTAACAGTAGTATTTGGCATTTACAAAAATGATACAATTCTACCATAACAAAAAGGTAAAAGTTCAAATGGGATGAGAAAAGCAGAGGTTTTCATTCTTCTGCGGGACTGGATGTGGGCACAGAACAGCAGTGAGTTGTTGTTCAGAGAATAACGTGCTAAGAATTTGCCTTGTGGCTGTGGAAGCTGTAGCTCCTCAAGCAGCAGCAAGGTGAACTAGAGCTTGGCTGCCGAGAGCGATGTGATTGCGTGGGAAGTCCGTGGGGGAGGACAGGTGCCAATGAAAGCAGAGGATGGTGCACTAACAGGTTGGGACAGACATGGCAGGGTTGCATTCTCATAGCACTGTCTCTTTCTGGCACACAGATGCGCTACACAAGGCGGGTCTCAGTCTGGCCAGTGGCTTTCGTTGGGGGGCTGCGATATGAATCCCCAAAAGTGAGCCCAGCAGGGAAGGTGGTGGGCTGGAAAACTGTCTTCGACCCTAATCGTCCCTTTGCTATTGACATGGCCGGATTTGCTATCAGCATCAAGTTGATTTTGGAGAAGCCTCACGCCAGTTTCAAGCTGGAGGGAGTTAAAGGAGGGTACCAGGAAACAAGTCTGCTGAAGGATTTAGTGACTATGGACGGGCTGGAGCCCAAAGCAGCTAACTGCACAAAGGTGAGTACAAGAAATCTCAAAGATACAGTCTCCTCACTGGGTCCTGGCTGCTTTTACAGCCTCCTGCCACACTCTTTCACCTTCCATTGTGCCTGCCCTGTGCTGGTACATGTCAGTGCCAAATGATGCTGGGACAGACAGATGAACAAAGCCTGCCAAACTCTTCACAGACGTGAAGCTCAGAGAGAGCTAAGGAGCAGTGCTAAGTATGCTTCATTAATAAAGAAGCTCAGATGTACAATTTGTGCCCAGATTGCTTCTCCAAAGTCCAGGAGGAGTGGCAGAGGGTTGAGTCTGTAATTTTGCTCTAGAATGATCACTCCTCCTTGTCACTTTTTCATGTGCCCATAAAATATCTCCCAGGATCAACCGCTTTCAATCACATTCTTCAAACAGCTCTGAGCCTCACTTTTCTGAGGATCCCACCCAATGGGTGAAGTGCTTTCATAGTTTCCATGCTATTCAGAATGCCCTGAACTCTTTGTGCTTCCCTCTAGGTGTTGGTGTGGCACACAAGAACTGAGAGGCCCACTCTGGTTAATGAAGGCAAGCGGGGGTTTACAGACCCCAGAGTAGAGGTGTAAGCAGAGAGCCAGCTCCAGGGTGTGAGTATCTTTGTCTTTATTGTTTTTAGCAAGGCAAATAATCTATACCTGATTCCTTATTTCTGCTACTATTTCCTCAAAAACTGCATATGTGACTGCTCTGGTAATTCACCATGCCACCCTTTGGACAAGAAGTAGATTCTCATCTTTACCCATGTATGCTCTGTATTTCTTGCTCATTCAAGCCTCCTTGCAGACCATATGGGAGTTTTGCCTGACAGAGAGAAAAGAAGCAGCAGAATACCTCAGTTTAACTCAGTATTAATGACAAGCCAAATTCTTGCCCCTGGACTCTTTCATCCAGCTGTAAACTCCCTTTGGTGTGGGAGTTGTTCTACAGCATAGAACAAGATCACACTGCTGCAGGCAACCTTTTGTCCTGGCAGCCCTGCCACCTGTGCAGTGCTTCATGCATCCCCCTTCAGCTTTTATCCTGCATTTCATGCATCCCCCTTCAGCTTTTATCCTGCATGAACAGCTGGGGTGTGGGTGCAGCAGGGAAAGGCTGATGGAATGCTCAGAGGACCTCAGAACAAGAACCAGCAAAGCACAACCTACACAGAGTCTCTCAGTTTGAGGTGCTGGGTACCAATGCTCCCAGAGCTAGGAGTACATCTGCTGCTGAGGAGAAATACTGAATGCACTAGGAAGTGCCTTTGCAGTTCACAGAGCGGGGTTCAGCAGCAGGATGGGGAATTATGGCAACCACCACAGGTGAGGCGGGAATGTATCAGAGATCATTGACATGTTCTTAGAAAGAGAATGATGATGAAGAAGTGTCCAGATGCCATGCCCTGTGATCTCAATGGGAGATTCCTGCCCCAAAAGTCCAAAAAGAATAAAAATATCCCAATTTCAGAGTACCCAGCTTTTTCTGAAATCAGTCATAACTGTGTCAGGACACAGGATGCTGAATGATTTAGTCCTACTTTGGAAGATATTCCAGGAGTGCTTTTAGTTTTGACCCCAATATACACCTCAGCTCAGCTCTACCAGTGGAAATAAAACTGACAGCTTTTATATAGGCAGTCATGAGTATTTCAACTCCTGCACTGATCTCTGTGTGCATCACTAGAAGCTGCACTCAGCATTGCCACAGCACCTCATCATCTCTGAGTGACACCACACAAAGAGTGCAAAGCAATCCCAGTGCCTGCACACCCAGCAGCAGATGGAAGGGAGTCAGTTATCTAAACACAGACACCTGGTGCCACCACAGGGACCCTGGGGTAGCCTACCCTGGGGTAGTCCCTCCCACAGGGCACAAACCCTGTACCATTTATGACAGCTTTTTATCGATATTACAGATATCCTAGAAACCCATAAATTATGCCTGTGCTTAGGCAGCAGCTCCTCTTTTCACCAGTGTTTTTGTGAGATCCACTACAACAGGCTCATTTTGCACACTCACCCGTGCTGAGTCTGCAGTTGCCTAAAGCTATGACTGCCCAAGCTTAGCTCATAAGGACTCACAGTCCAGTTAACTGCCCTGCAGGAATCACTTACTTTGTACAGGGTGAGCAGGCCTATAAAAACTCAGATAGATTAGACCCTCCTTGCCTACTTGCCAGAGGAGAGGCTGCTCCATTGGAGATGCACAGTGCAGATGTAATGTTCCACAAATGTGCCATTTTTGGATGGGCTCTTTTGTCCTCACCTCTCTCCCTGGCCAAACACTCAGCCATCCTCTATAAGAAATGTAATGCACCAGCTATAGAGTCTCATGAGAATGGCTTCCCATGAGTGATTTGTTGTGGGAAAGGAAAGCAACCAGCCTACAAGATCAAGACACTGCCACTGATTCACCAGCAGAACTTGCACCTTAATCCAAGCCATCCTCTCCAATGGTTTCAATCAGATTGTTGGCTGGATCAACTCTGCAGATTTTTAAGGATTTTTGTACTTGCATTAGCAGTTACTTTGACCACAATCCCTTCTGCACCACTGTCTGTCATGTGGGGCAGCTGCTCTGACACATCAGGTTGGCAGGTGGCATCTACTCCAGGAGACACATGCAAGGTAAATTGCTTGACTATCAATAGCAATCAAGCAAAATCTTCAGATTGCATCTCTTAAAATTTTAAATTGACATCTCTGCTGAAGGCTTCAGTTTATTGGAAGTTCATACTATCAAGGCTGCTGAGCTTCAGAACATTGATAGGCATGATCCAGATAAGCCAGTGCTGAGAACAAAAAGAGGCAAAATTGCTCCCCTGAGGATCTTCTGTTCTTAGACACAATAGGAAGAATGTTTCCATCTTTCCCTCCTGGCAATTAGTCCTCCTTGAGGATCAGATCAAGCCAGTTAAGTCCAAGACCTCCCAGAGCCCTCCTTCCCTTTAAATCCTGCAGATGTGAGTCAGGCAGACATTGCTTGGTGTGGGATTTGGTACTCCCCTAATCTCTAATTGGACCACTTGCATGGCTGCTTGCCACAGAGCAGCCCAAAGCTATCAGAGCATACATCCCTGCTGACTGTATTGAAACACCTTTGAAACACAGGCTTTGCCTTCTGAGAACAGGAGATGAAGATTAATTCCACCTCATATTTTTCTTTCTTAAAGTCCTGAAAGCTATCACAGAAGACTGGTGTTATAAAAACTACCTATTATTATTGCTAATTTTTATTTACAGGCATCCAAAAGAGAAGAGTGTGCTTAGGTTAGCACAGCACTCCTGCTATTGTGAAATTTGGAAAGAGAGAAGGTTCATCTGCATTTCACAGCTTCCAGACAGACTGAATAGATCCTCAGATCTCATCCTCCTACTCTTTCTTTAAAAAAAATTATCAGAGAAGTTAAAATAATGACTTTAAGTGCAGACAAAAAAATCTGTCAGAAACTTTCTCTAATTAGTAAATAAAATCTCCCAGCTAAGGGAGAGAGTGCAGAGAGAGTGCAGAGAGAGTCCCTGAAGCTCTTCAGCCATATCCCAGCCCAAAGCCATGCACAGTTCAGGAGGAACCTGTTCACTGATGCCTGCAAGGTGTTTGCCTGAGCCAGGGGGGATAGCCATGTTGCATTTACACCTTCTCACCTCACCTTGTGTTTGTTTTGACAGAGGCAGAGAGCTGTGATCGTTCCTGAAGTTCATCAGCAACCATAGCAACTGTGCACCCTGCCTGTCCCGTCCAGCGCTCTGAAGAATGACAAACACCCCAAATGTCACCACCCCAAACATCTCCCATTGTCCAAAGAGGTGTAATAAGGAGGGACAGAGCTGAGGTGATGCCCTGAGATCCTCCCCATCTAGGAGAGAAGTGCTTCCCTTCCCCACTGGGCCCTGTACTTTTAACCATTTCTTAAAACTTACTAGATGTGATCTTCATTCTCCACTGTGCCAGCACAGAGGCTGAAATCCAGGATGGGTGCAGGTGCCTCCAAAGGTCTCTCCTGGCATCTTGCAAAACCTTCAGTTCAGCAACTGTGAACTGCAGTAGTTCAAGGACAGGAGTTGTCACTAAAGCACAAACATGGACTTGTTGGCCTGAGGCTGGTGTGCTCTCAAAACAGCTTTAAAGCAAAGCTGGCATGAGAGTTCTCCCTCTGAGGGAGGCACTCCAATATGTACACAGATCAGCCTTCAGTGTTGGAGAGGAACCTGTGCTGATGAACCTCATTTGGGGTTTGGGAGCTCAGAAGGGATGTGGTGCCTATCCCTCAGCTCACATCTTGAACTGTCCCTGCTTAAGGTTGTTTTGGAAAACTCCATCTGAGATCCCCAGGCACAGACACCTCTGGAAGAAGTTCCTCTCCTGCACTGGGAGACGTGGCAGGTACTGTACATCAGAGGCCATGCCTCCATGTGCTGCTGCAGAGAGCAGAAAGCAGGGGCAAAGATGGGTGGACTTGAGCGTGTTCAAGGCCTGGAAGCCTGCTGCAGCACCATCAGGTGCTTCAGGAGCCTCAAATCCTGTGCATGGACTTGCTTCCTAGACCTCCAGAGAGGAAGACAGCTCTCTGAGAGGGAGGTGAGTGAGAAGTGCTCAGAGAAGAGGAACCCTCAGCCTGCACTTATCTGCTGCGAGAACATCAAGGAATGTGGAGACATCATCGGAAAACCTATCTTGAGCACATACATGACAACTGAAATAACAAATGTGGCAAGGTTTTCCAGCTGAACTTTGAAAAGAGTGTGTGGTGCTGTGAAGAGAGAGGAGTCAGTGTCATGTGGAAGGGTTTCCCTTTCCCTCAATAAAACAGGAAGACAGCCAGGTGGGAGGCAGCCTACAAAACAGGAGGTGCAAATGAGGACCGAAGGAAGGATGCACTGGATTAAAAGCACAAGTGTTGGTACCATATGTGTGCGTGGGGAGTGGTGTCGCTGTGACTTTTCCAGGAAGATTCCCTGAATGACCCAGAAACCCCTCTGAGCAGATCTTTAAAACCTTCTTCACTCAGGCCATGAGAAACAAGGCTTAAGGCATGCAAAACACATCAAGGATTTCACAGCTGGGAGAAAGTTATAAGCAACTGAGTCATCCCTTGCCCAAGGAATTCAGGGCTAGCAGGAAACTTATTTATTTGTTGATTTATTTATACTAGAATTCTTCTCTGCCTATTCCTTGTTTAGCTTTGGTTTTTAACTTAGGTCACATGACATATTCATGAAGAAAGAATATTTTCCCCCTTGCCTCAGAACAGTGGAGCTTGGTGTTCACCGATGAATGTCATCTGTTCTGTGCTCCCTGGGGTTTCTTTACAATGGTATCTGAAACTGGCAAAATAATCAGAAACACAGCAAGGGGGGCAATACAGCGAAGGAAATCACAGCTCTTTTATGCAACAAACGTGGGTGGCACTAAGTTTCTGGCTCCCAAGCAATCACACTGAGGTAAAAACATGAGCAAAGGACTGCCTCACTCAGCAGACAGTCCCCATGGGCTCTCAGGAAGCCTCAATGAAGGGTATCTGAGAGGGGGAGTTGGTCCATATTCCCTGAGTGGAGAAAGAGCAGCCATGCATCCTGCTGTAGGAGGGGACCAAAGTATGGGAGAGGCACAGGGGAAGAGATGCCTCCTTTGAGAGAGAGAGACAGGAGAAATCAAATAATAGGCAATAACTACAGAAATGGAGACTACATTTAGTGAGGCTAAGGCCAGGGCCTGTCTGGATAAACACACCAGAATACAAGGCCACCCTGCCAGCTGTCTCAGCATGAAGGAAATACTGAATGGGGTGAGAAAGCAATGTATTCTCTGGACTGTAGAAAGGTCCTTACAGTGCTTACTGGCACCTGATAGCATGAAGGAAGTCCAGCATCCACAGAATGCTTTTCACTCTGCATTTGTCAGAGCTTTTTGTCCTGCCCTCTGCAGAAGGTAGCAGGGCTTGCACTCCAGTGGGCTTCACCAGCCCACCCTGCAGAGGCAGGTGGGCTCAATGCTTCTAGCCAGCATTAACCCAAGATTAAGTCCCCTTCTTTGTGGTTTCAATGAATGAGCAAGGGTGAGGAAATAAAGGAGTTGATTTATGATCCTCCATTTTCTCCTCTGAGATGGGCAAAGGTTCTGCCCGTATGAACAGGAGGAGTTGTGGTGATTAATTCTCTGGCCTTTAACCTCACACAGCTCCTACATAGGGTTTAGGAACTGACAGTGAGAGTCTGTAGCAAGGATCTATTCCCATTGCAACAGATCCCACCACACACATATTTTTAGAGAGCTGTTCTCTCTACATCCTTACAAGAAAGTAAAATTACTCTTTCTGTATGTACTACACTGTCAGTTCAGTCTTGGTCAGAGTTGGCTCTCAAGACCAGCCCTGTTGCACCACCTCCATTCTTGCCCTGTGGAGCAGACCCTCTGTGAATCAAGAAGTTCTGTCAGTCACTACATTGTGCAGAACCAAAACCTCATCTGGACAGCTGGCATTCCAGGCCAGCAGACAGATGGACCTGTTCAGCACAAAGACTCTGTTCCCTGTAGAGCAGCCTGAGGATAGCAAGGGCTGCTGCTGGCCAAGGTGTATCAGCCAAGGGTGGGTGAGTACCAGGCACCACAAGTTAAGATGGTTGTTTGCCAGCAGAGCAGGGTGGGGGAGCCCAGGACAGAAACAGCTGCCAGGGTTACAGGCTTCAGGGGAAGTGAGTGCAGTAAGGAGGGAAGCCACAGATCAAGCCTGAGGTGTTTAAACAAGAGAAGGCAGCGCCTGGTTTTTACTGGCATCTTAGTACCTGATATTCATGTTCTCTCAGATTCATCCAACTCACCAACCAATGAATATTACTAACCTTTCCTGTTGCAGAAAATACTATTGATGAACAAAAGAGAATGTCGAGAAAGTACTTTTTAATGGTTATTTATTTATATTGAATGGTACTAGAGCATTATTAAATATGATGTGAATAGTATGATATTGCATTGTCTTGTCTGCAACCTAAGTCCTTACTCCTTTTCCAGGAAAACACAGTAGAATCTATAGTGGGAAAAGTATCTATTTTAAGTGTTCTCATTTCAAGGCCACTCATTTCACTCTTCCTCTGACCTAAATGTTACAAGTGAAAGTCAAGCAAAACATTTCAGGTCCCTGAGACTGCTGCCTGCATTATGGAGATAAAGGAAATAGGAGACAGGAGAAAATAGGCTAAACTCCAGAGTCTCATGGCATCTCTAGCAGTCATTTTGGGCATGGTGACCATCCCAAATGAGATTGCTCTGCAAAGGTGCTGACCATGACTCAGAAGTGAGCGGTGGTCAAAACATAGGGCAGGCAGTCACTTCTCCATCCCAAGGGGAAGGGTGCCTATTAGTGAAATGTCTGTGTGACAGGAAGCCACTGTTGGCTCCTCCACAAGCCTAGGAGAAGCTTGGATATCCAGGTTCTGTTTCTAAAGCTCTCACTAATTTACTCTATCACTGGTTCAAGGCACATGACATCAGCTCTCTGGCCTTTTTAACAGCAGGGCATCCACCTCTCAGAAACATGGAAGCAGTTCTAAAACTCTTCTGAGGAAGCCTTGATGAAAATTTAGCATTACTAGAGAACAAGCCAAATTCATACCTATGTAATAAAAAAAAACCACATTCACAAAAGTGTTGCTAGAAGAACAATGTGAAGTTTACAAGCCAAGGTCCTGCAAAAGGCTGAGAAAGAACTGCTGTGGCCAAAGTACTTGAAACATGAACCTCACTAGGAAACACAGTGTCATGGCGACTGAGAGGGCACTGGATGATGCATTCACCAGCACTGTATGAGCACCCAGCCTGGTGTCAATCACTCTGCTACACCAGCTGCTCCTCCTCTCCTCAGGCCCTGCATCTTCAAGGCAAAGCTTCCCAAAGCCACTTTGCTGTACTTTCAGGAGGGATCTAGTGCAGCCCCCAGAGGACAGGGCATGGCAGAGAAAGGGAGAGAAAAAGAGCAATCAAGAATGAATCTCATTAAACAGAGAGAGGCACCCCTCTCAGTCTCTCATCATGTTCAGGCCTGATTGGAAGTGAAACTGCACTTGGAGGGAGGGAAAGCCCCCCTCCCTTGGGACAATCCAGAGGCTCTTGCACAAGCTTAATTTCAAGCTCTGTTGAAGATAGTGTTTGGTTTGGTTTGGGTGTTTTTTGGTTTAGATTTGTTTTTTGTTTTTTTGTTTTTTGGTTTTTTTTGTATGCATTCAACTTAATTTCCCAGGGAGCTGTGTGAAAATGAGAAAGGCAGACCTTTGACTGTGAATCCAGCCCAGTGCCTGCTTCTTACAGATCCAGTCTCACATTGTTTTCCTGCATCACTGCCCTCAATAAATCTCTGCACAAAGGTTGCTAAAATTCCTCCCACCTCCCTTCCACACTTCAGTGGAGACAGTTACATTATTTTTTTTTTGCATTTAAGCAATCCAATTCATTTTTAATTCAAAACACACCCTAGTTTCCACAGCTCTGTTTAAAACAGGAGCACTGTGACCTTGAAAAGGCTCAGACCTGCTGGCACCATGAAGTTCTGACCTGTACTTTGCTCTTCCTGGCTTGCTTGCTTTCTGGTGAGGAAAAGGCTCGTGATTTGGTTTATGATCCACTCATTCCAGTGCTGATAGTTGGAGGGGAAAGAGAGGAACTCTATTTGGTTTGGAAGGCTCCTGAGGGAGACATACCTGGAGATTCAGTTCCCTGAGCTCACACAGAAACACGTGCTGGCTGGTTCCTCTGCACCCAGCTGATCTGCCTGTATTTAGTTTTCCAGGCTGGAGACCAAATATACACACAGGTGAAAATACAGATTAGGGTAGGCTGTTTCCATCTGACCTCATTCTTCTGCCCAAGAACTGGCACAGGGTGGCAATTTTTACAACTACGCCCTGACTGCAAGGAAGTTGCAGAGCCACTGAATTGGGGCAGCACTAATGGTCCAGCTGCTCCCTTCTCCAAGACAGAGGGAGGCAGACATGCTTTGTCCAAATTCTTCCTACATTGAGATTTCCTACTGTGACCCAAGGAGGGATTGCAAGAGAAACATAAAGCACTACTGGCCCTGAAACAATTGCCAGCTGCAGCCCCAGGTCATACCATGAAAATCTGATTCCTTTCTTTGTTTCTTAGCTGATGCAGAGATTAATTCTTTCCTGTCCTTGGCATTGTATTTGCTGGAGCTATCAGCAGAACAGTGAGTGTTGTTTTGTTTTATGGAGGGGAAGGCAAGCAGGGTGGGTTTGCTGTCATTGTAGAGGGAATGGCACAAGGAGGATGTAAACAGTAGATGTAGGTGTACAAAAAAAGCAACCTTGTGGCAGCAGCACTGCGTGGATTTCAGTAAAGCAAGACTTTGCCCGAGGAAAAG